AAAAAAACTCCACCGAACAGACCTTAAGCATGGTAGAATTAATTGAGAGACAGTACGTGTTGCATTGCGGGTTGAGTACTGCTGGCGTGGGTCTACAAGTTAGGTGGAAATGTGACTCTTTTACAGGACTGTAGCCTAAGAACCTAATCTACTGCCACGTCCAAAAAGTGTTGTCTAAAAAATATAGGGTTGAAGTGGGAATCGAAGGGCGGAGGATTCGTTGAGGATAGGACTGGAGTGCCTGTATTTTGGAACGGGATTAACGTCACATCAATGAGAACTTTATAGATCAGCGCTTCTGCCACTGCGAATGGGGATTCAGCACGCGAACTCCAACTGCATCAGCAGTGGGACGTCCAACCCTGCTGGGGGACACGTTGCACCCTATTCCTCACACTGTTTCAAAACCCATGTAGCCCATAGGCTGTGTTAATGTCTTAATGATGGCCATCCCCCTCATAATCTTAAAGAACAAAAATTGTAAAATATTATTTTTAAAAATAAAAATATTTTTAAATTTAATTATAATTATAAATTAATTAATTAATTAATAAGTTAATAGTTTTAAATATTATTTTCAAAAATCAAAAATTAATAAGCTCAACATTTTATATGGTAATGATAACCCTACCCATTTTATTCAATTAATTTTATCTAACAATCAAATATATTCTACAAAGTTCTTACTTTAATTATAGAGAAATATTTTGTAGGGGAGGACTCAAAAATGTTAGTTATTAGCTGATATTTTTAAAATTTAATTGTTTGATTGAATATTTTGTTAGGGTAGATCTGCATGTAATTTTTAGATTAATTTAGTATATTTAAATAGTTTATTAATTGTATAAAATTTAAAATTATTAAATATGTATTAAAAAATATAATTTATTTGGTCTAACAATTTTCAATAAGGAAATGATATATAAACACTCTTTTTTTTATAAATCTTTTAAATAATTTTTATATGTTATTAGATGAGTTGATGCATATAATATTATAAGTATAAGTAAAGTGATAAATATCCATAATAAAATGAGTATGTAAAATTATATAAAAACTTATCTCTCAATATTTTTAAAAATATTATATTAACTTAAAAATTAACATAACTAATTAAAAAAAAAGACATTATGACATTAAAACATTTAAAAATAATCACATAATAAATTTAATAAAATTAAAACACATATTATATTTTAAATATTTAATCATTATTATTGAATATTTTAACATTTTATAAAAAAAATGTTATGATTTTTCTTTTTTCTTCAATAATTTATATTAACAAAATATTTAATCAAACATTCACTTTTTAAAATATGAATTCGAAAGAAAAAATTTTATACTATTACTCTAAAAAAAACTTAAGAGGACATCTTGTGTTAGATTATGTGCATAGTTCTATACTCTTTTATTTATATATAAGATTCTAAATTGATTGTAAAAAAATACTATAATAGAAGTGATCAGATGCTAAGTTAGGCTTATCGCTGATTAAAAAAATAAATTAAACATCTTTTTTTTTTTATCAAATAATTTCGACATGCATGATCCATGTGATATACAATTTTTTTTTTTTTTTGAACATGGGGTCATCTTTGGGGAATGGATAATTTTTTATTAAGTTATTGATAGGAATTAAATCATAAATTAACTAAATTTAAATATTAAATTTTATGCAATTCTTATGTCATTTATAATTTTTTTTTTAACATGAAAAATGTGGAGGGGAGGAATTTTTAAAAAGTTATTAATGAAAATCAAACTACCTACCGACTATCTACATAAGGTTTAAGAATAAATTATTGGATATGATAGTTCAATCCACGTGTCAGCTATAGTTGATGACTCGTAAAATTGGGAGATTCAACTCGGTCCTTATGGACGGGACAATTTTTTGGAACAGTTCCTTCGATTTAATAGTTTTGAATTTTAAATTAGAGTTGTTCATCTTCCATGAGTTATACATTTGGACTCTATAAAATCTCTTTTTCTCCTTTCTCGATTAATCTTATAAATAATTACAAATTATTAAAAAAAAAAAGCAATTCTTTTGTCATTTATAGTTTTTTTTTGTTTTTTCGAGACATAAAAAAT